AAATAAAAATTTTTTAAAAAAAGGAGGAATAATTTCAAATTTCAATTTTAAATAATTGAAATGAATTGCCAGAATATTTTTAAAATTGTACCACGCTTAGAAATTAGTATTTGGTGAAAATTTCTGGTCTTTACGATTATTTTTATATAAATTACAATGAAAAAAATCGCGTATATTATGAAGAAAACTACAAGGAAAATCAACAAAATGATTTCTTGATGCACCAGTTAAACAAAATTTGCTATTAGAAACCATTCCTGAAGTTGATGATCCGGACAAGATTTATGGTAGAAAAGTTTTTAGCAAAGGACAGTAAACCCAATACATATCCTTCGCTTTTCCTAGAATCTAATATTGTATTGAAATTCACACATTTGAGCACCGAGTGAAAAACATAATAGTATTATGATAATAGCTATTATTTTTCATGGTTATATGCGATACAAAATTGTATAAAATGTGTCTCTCTTTCCCTGACTGCACACCGGTAAAACTAAGCCCTATAATTAAGCCGCCGATTCGGAACAAAATATAATATACATAAATTAACACCAGACGTGCCATTGCTACAGACAGATTTCGCTCGATTTATGACAAATCGACAACAATAAATATATTTTAAACTTGATCAACGGCCCGTTTCGGATCAACGATGTGTACCGACGTGTTTCCTACATAGTACATATTATAATACATAATAATATATAGAACGGCGAACACGGTATTATAATATTATTTTATTCACAGTTATTAGGTATTACAATGTCGATTCGTATTTTGATTACTTTAAATACCGGTGCAACTGCATTGGTACATCAACAGTAGAATATGGTTATTATTATAGCAGTGACGTAACTTCTTTGGAGGTTTAATATGTACATTTATCAAAAATATCGAAAACAAAATAATAACTAATATTGTACTTTATCACACAATTTGATTAACGTATAACATTAACAATAAACGAAGAAATATTTATAATGTGGTAAGTTTCACATTTGATATTTTTTATTATGTATTGGGTATAACAAGTTATTGCAAAAAAGAAAACAAAGATTTGGGTTATAAACATCTTTGGGTGGTGATGCGTCCTCCAAATCACTCTTCTTGAGAACGCCCCTGTATTATATATTTATATAGTCTCGTTGATTGGCAGATAGATTCATAGATAGATAGGTTGATACCTACGAATAATTGCAATTTAAACTCTATATGACTAGAGAACTTACTCCTATTTATACAGTGGCATGGGAAACGCTGTTTTTTTGAAGTCTGTACCTCGACCAAAATCGATGGGTGGTAGAACACCAAGTTTGAAATAGTGACTAATTGCAATTCATTGCTGAATTGTGGCAGGTATCGTAATAAGTACCTAAACTATTATTATATAGATAATTGCTGCAGGGCATCATATTGCAGTAGTAATCACCCGCATTGAATATTATACATAGGTACTCATTACTCGTATAATGAATTAATTTTTCTTTTTAGGAAACCCGAAATCTTTACTTGCGGTATACAATATTCAATAGAACTAGTAATAACTCTGCTGTGGGGAGCTTTTTATAATATTATTATGTGAATAATACGATGTATGAATTAGGTTTTAATTTTGCGACATTTTCCATTAATTTCTATAGAAATCAATAAAAATAATAAAATATAATTACTTATTATATAGATGTCGGTACGAGATATACGTTGGTATGTATTTTTTATACAAACAAAACACAAAATTATGAACTAAAAATAGTAGCAACAAAAAATATATAATACATTACATGTATATATATATATATATGTAAATATTAAATGCAAAAAAAGTAAAATTGTCGAAAAAATTTTAAAAATTGTTTTCAGTTCTATCGCCGTCTGCGGAAAACAAACAGCACGACCATTCATGACCAGATTGAGAACATAATATACGTACCTAATATTATAATAGAATGAAAAAATAATAATAATAAATTAATGCAGTGACGGTGGCAACATGGTCAAAACCCGAAATGTGAAAAAAATAAATAAATACAATTTCGGACATGCACACGAACAGCCCGGAGCTGGTGCAAAAACGAATTTCGATCGAAGTGAACAAATTATTTTTTTACGGAAATATATCTTTTTGCGTGGTTGCATCGTTCCATGGTCTCAGCGAAGAAGGGTTTAAGCTAATTTTGTATAATTTAAATACAAGCAAATTAAATGTTGATTAATACATTATACATTTGTATGTAATCTAATATACTACATAGACTATAATATATTTTGAAAATACACTTAGCCAATTTGGACCAAAAACTAAAAGGAAAACAAATTACATTTGACCAAATTATATTATAAATAAAAACAGCCGATACTGGGGATGGGTGTGCCACTGTTGTAAGTGGAAAGTTGGGAAGGTAGGATACATAAAGTTATTTAATTTATATCTACACACAACGATAAACTATTGCTAACGAAAAACGATTCGGAGCGAAGTTTGGTAAGACATATTTTGAGATGTTATAATTTGAATGATTTTCGTAAAAATTTCATATCAAACGTTTATATAAAAAAAAAATTATTCATGAAATTCATTGTACATTAAACTCAAATTTGTTTTTTTAGACCATTTCGTATAACTTTTAATGTATATTGTGTTTAATTTTCAAGCTTCTCTCTTAAGTGATATAATTTTTAATAACAGATACCTACTTACCAAATAAAAATACATATGCAAATACGAAAATAATATCAAATACCAATAGGTATAAATAGCCTAAAATGGCTAAATTTTTAAAATTGTATTAGGTTTACAAAAGAACCATATAAAAATTTTATGAAAACAACGGGTTTCTAAAATAATTTCTAACCGAATAACATTAAAAACCCAAATGACCTTACACTTTGCGTATTTCTTACGTTTTTTCTTGGTTGTTTGTAAATTTTAAGAAAACTATACGGAAAATCAAACAACGATTTTCTGACGCACAATAACTAGACAAAATTTTCTTTCAGAAAATATATTTTTTTTGGAATTAGAACAAAGATTTCTGGTAGAAAAATATAATCTTAGCAATTTTAGATTCTGAGTTGAATGAGGAATGTATTGGTTTTAAAATGATGTTTTTATTTATTATATGAACATTTTTCTACCAGAAAGCATGCTTCGATAATTTTGTATAGCACCTTTAATGAAAGGAACTGTTCTCTGGGTGGTACTTTAGACAGGTCATTTTTTGAAATTCTCATTAATATTCGAGATGGGGGAAAAACTCGGTCTTTAGGTTAAAAAAGATTGAAAGATAAAAATAAGGTTGTCAATGGCAACCGTTTTATTTAATTTTTGTTATTATTAAGTTTTTATTATTTTAATCTTTTTTAAACAATCAATGTTGTTATGGAAACGCACATTGTTGTAATCATTTTACCATGATATGACATAATATGACATACATTGTATTGTTGACAAAGTAACACTATCAACTGAACTCCGCTCAGAATCTTTTTTTCGTTAGCAATTATTTATCCTTGCTTACAGATGTACATTAAATTTCCGTTTGTATCTTACCTTCCCAACTTCCCACCTATAACAGTGGCTGCACCCACGTGCGAAGTATGTCCGTCATTTTAAATAATGAAATCGTTCCGCCTAAATTTGAATTAAAAAAATTGTATTTTCCGTCTTTTTTGGTTTTTCCCTGTTATCATGAAAACTACTTAAGATATCAGAAAAGGATATAATCTGTCAGTGGCTATATATTAAAAGGAAATAAGATCGATCTCTTGTCATTTTTCGATTGGAGCAATATTTCTGGTGGAAAACATACCTTTTCAAATACAAGAAAATAAGGCACTATATATTCAAAATCATTAGGGGTAATTATACATCCAAAAACTCACAACAATAAAGAAATTAATGATTTTTATAAATCTTATAACTAGACCAATTAAATCTGCCATGTTTAATATTATATCCTATTGTATTTTGAATTAAACATTTTATAATATTAATAATAAAATTATAAGTGATAATACGAGTAGTTTATTGCTGCCTCGACTGAGTATTGATTTGGGTTTACGTGTAAACAGTACTTCTACCGTAATAGTAATTATTGTAAAATGCTTCGACAGTACTGCCATCGTGTAAATACACTTATATTCTATTCAGGATAAGATTGAACCCGTCGCGTCCATGCATCACAGCCACTAGACTGTCCTCCTTCCCCGACCGTGCTCGAACCCCGTAAGCATTGTGGTAGCAGCGATGACGACCAATCAAATGATGTGTAGCGGCGACCAAGGAGGCAGGAGTTCGCTCGAGTCTGCATGCGCGAAAGTGGTTCAAACTTATCCTGAATGAATTACCTACTTGCACTTGGAAATACTATAGTAAGTCAATGGTCACTATGTAGTCACGTTCTGGGTAGGCCGGGAGTTCGCAGATTCGTACGAGTAGCGTTATTATTTTATTAGCGTATAGGAATACATGGTGATTATTTTATCTGGAAACCGCAGCTTCAACGATTTTCCGTGAAAATTTTGAATTAATTTCATATTGTTTATTTTTTTCGTGGAAATCACATGAAAGATTATTATATTATATCCAACACAGTCTCCAACTCTGCATCTCGTTCCAACCAAAAACCGCGCAAGTGCACCGTCAAGCACCCCTGAATTTACGCCACAGTCTAGGCGATCAGATAATAGGATTTTGAAAATACCACAGGATCCGCCGCTGTGTTCCACGCGTGCGTATGCCCGTCACGGCGATATAAAAAATATCCGCACGTGGTATACGTGTACCTATTATTTTAATATTAGATACTATTATATTATTCGTAACATTAATGTCATGCCCACTCCACATTCTCTCCGGTCACCACGCCGCGTCGTCGTCGTCGTCGTCGTCGGGAACCACCGAACCGAGTTGGCGGCGACGGCGATTACACAACGTTTCGGCCTCGACGTCGTCACCGCCACCACCAGCGCCGCAACCTTCTCCTCCTCCGCCGCAGCCATCGGCCCCTACTCTTCCTCGTAGCTCCTACCGTCCAACCATTATTGCACGTAGGTATACCGTGCAGACGTATAGAGAGACATTGACTTGCAGTCTCAGCCAGCGTACGGCCATCCAAAGAACCATTTCGTTGCACCGCGCAGAGACACAGTATTATATTTAATAACAGTGTTTTTTTTTTTTTTTCCTCTGTATTCTGTACCATCGAATTGTCACTTTCTCCCGGCCATCGCACCGTGTCCAGAACGTTTGCGTTTTCACGTTTGTTTGTGTGAAAATCGAGTTTGACTGTAAATAATAATACGAGTGCGAGTGGAACCGTTTTGTATTTGCCCCTTCCCCCGTCGACGCACTGTAGTAACGTACGCGTCTCGTCAAGTCGACGGCAGACATTTCACGTACCCGTTCGAATATTGTTATACACAAGATCCGGTCATCCGGTGTGCCGTACGGAAACCTAAATATTCGTGAGCTGACCGCGGTTACGTCGTCAGAGATTCGTCATATTACCGTGTACGCGGGTTAGTCAGCGCGTTATCACAGGAGTCCTGCTGCAACGGGTAAGGTCATTGTCACCGACGACGCACAAGCTCGCGATGTTCAACGACGAACGATCGTTGCGCAAAAATGCCTACGGTCCCACCACTACCGGACCGCAGTGACGAAACGGCCTCGCAAAATGTACTGGATTCGTCATCAAAACAGAGGAAAATACCTGTAAAAACAACGGTCATTGCCGTGCGACGTATTCGAGCTTTTGTTTGAGGATATGAAGCAAAACGCACGCTGCACTAGTCCGAAGAACATAAGCCGCAGTATCACGATGTCCACTCTTGCGGTCTTTTCTGCATGTCTACTGCTGTTCTTGGCTACAGCGACAACACCGGCCCAAGGTACGTAATGCGCATTACTTGCGTTAATTTAAATCATACACATATATTTATATTAGGCATTGATATTCCGCGATAACGAACTATACTACTAGAATTTAACAATATAATGGGTCGGTAAGTTTTTACAAATACGATGGTCGTCAGTGTCATTATATTATTGTTATTAATAATTATCATAGTATTTAAGGTTTGTTGTGGCACACGAGTGTTGTTTGTCTCGAAAAAAAAAAACAAAAAATTACCGTGCGTTAAAAACGGGGTTGTAATGCGTTTTAGCGAAATTATTATTTCGTTTTCAGGTTAAAACGGAAATAAAGTTAAACATGAAAATTCGACTATAAATTAGGTATTCAACCTACGGCGTTTACTGTTCTTTTACAGTTCTAGCGCTTACGGGGTTGCTTTTCGAAGGACTACAGAAATAAAATCCGACAAACTTTCTCGGTGTTCCTTTCGAAAGTACGTTTGAATTTTCGGGGGCAATATTTAAATATTCTTGGGACCGAGACTTCGTACAATAGACGTGAATACGCAAAAAAACACGGTTCACTTACCTGCCTATGACGGTGTATAATACATAGTCAATATTCAATGCACAGGTGGCGAATTATTTTCGCCGTGTGCGTATATATTACTTCAGTTTTGTATAAAAAAAAATATATTGTACGACTCTCGAAGCGGCGGTGTTACCCGCAAGGTGGTGGGGCCACAAACCTCCTTCCTCTTCCCCGCGAGTGTGAGTTTTCAAACACTAACTATACTCAAAAAACAGAGGAAAAAAAAAAAAAAACGTTTTTCGAAATCGGGGAAAAAAAATTTCAAACTCGCGACAACGTGTTATAACATTAGGTACCTACCTAACTATAATATTAAGTTTGTTTTATAGTAACGAAAAAATGTGTCTCAGCCCCGCAACGCCCTACCGGAAAAATTCCTACCAATGGGTATAATATTTTTAACGCGTCGTTATATCATATTGTTAGCATGGCGCATATTCGATGTTATTTTTAAATGTCGGGCTTTATTTTCACGGGACGACTCTTGTGTGTGTTACGCGCTCTATTCAATATTAATTATATATATATGTATGTTATATAGGTACTATTGTATTATACAGAACAAAACGCTCGATGTAATTTTACGGTACGACAAAAATAACGCTCGTGTATTACGGGCTTAATGGTCTTTGTAATTATAATCGGTGGTTTTTTTTTTTTTTTTTTTTTGGTAAATAATCATAGAAAATAGAAACTTATTTTTATTCGTATACAGTTAAGATTATAATACACACATTACACGTATATATTAAGTTAAACAATTATCTACTTTTACTTTTAACAATTATTATAATATACATGATATACATTAGGTACCCACCTATCATCTACTCGACATTTCATCGAGATTTATCAAATTCAAATTTGTAACGCGTAGTGTAATATTATAAGACAATATTGTTATTATATATATATATAAAAAAAATCGTATCTAAAAAATCGTTAAAATAATATTGTTATTATCATTGTACGTTTGTGCACACTGAGAAACTATACACGAAATGGGTTTACTTGATAATCATAACGACGTTGTAATCTTTATTATATATGCGCGTAACAGATTTTAAATATCATAATATTAAACGTTGCATAACGTTTGTATGTTTTTTTTTTTTTTTAATGCTATTAAAAGTAAATTATTCTCGTGTTTATTTGCTACTGCAACTTTCAATAACAACAGGTTGTACAACTATTGACTAAATACATTCGACGGTAGAAAATACGAAAAAATAAGAAATTGAAAATAAAAAAAATTGCGATTTCCATGGAGGGTCAAAAATTCGCGTTTAAATTTATTCGATTTCTCGAGCAAACAATACAATAACATCGAGGGTCTTAAAAGGAATTCGAATTGGGTTCCAAGTAATAGTACTAGTACACTAGTTGGGTCCCGGCTTTCGGTAGATTATATACTAGTCGGGTTCAAACGTTTACAAGCAAAAAAAAAAAAAAACATTTTCTTTCTTATTTTTACAGACTTAGGACGGTCAGTGATTTGTAATTTAAAATAAAACACAGGTATGATTTAACAAATTTTGTTTTGCCAGATGAATTAATATTTTGAAAAACAATCAGAAGATTGCCTCCGGTAATTCAATGAATACTAACTTAATATAATTTAAAAAAAAATTTAAAAATTTAATTTTATTTAATACTATTGTACTAAATGTGCATAGATAAACACTTATAAAGGAGTGTTTTGATAAAATCAAAACGATTTAAGTTGCTAATGTTTTTTTCAATCATTTTCTCCTTAAATAAATTGTTGTTTTTGTAAAATACATTCCGGTCGTTGTTTCTATACTTCTCATTTTGATGTGAGTGTTTATTTGCGTACTTTTTAAAGTTTCTTTTCTTTTCACTAGTAACTCGAGACCCAACTAGTGTACAACCTGCGGGAAATCTGGGACCCAACTAGTATAGTACTCGCGAGAACCTGGGACCCAATTAGTATAGTACCTGCATTAACCCGAGACCTAACTAGAGGAGATTTTTGAACGCGGGACCCAACTCGGATGCGCCACTTAAAAGATACCGATTTCAACCAGTAAACTATATTATTAACTAGATGGGTTAGCTGACCTCCTGAACTCCCCCTCTCCGTCTCTAATTAAGATCCGCTATGTTATGCTGCGCGTGAATATTATTTTTAATTGTGCATCGTGTACTCGTATAAAATAATGCTATAATATTATGTTGCTACTGCATATAGTTGTATCGACGATGAGTACAGTTGTGTTTAGTACGGTGCACTACGACCGCACATTATCATTTTTAATATTTATATCCTGGATATTTTTTTGTAAATATCCACTCCGCGTTCATTCCCTTTTCCTATAAAAAAGCTCCACGAGAAAACAGACCAAACTCTCTTCTTGACTTTTGGACTTTACTGCAGTGAAACTCTCCCCTTTCCCCCACAAATGAGAATATAAAATATAATATTTTGTTACAAAACCTATAGATAACTTATTTAATAATTTACCATTTATTTTCTAATGGACACACGGTAAGCTAGTATTAAACTAGCTAAATGTTCGACTGGGTGTCCAATGGACTTTAATGAGTATCTATTTCGACGCAGAAAACCTCCTTAGAAAATGCCCCGTTCGTATCCGTAATGCAAGCACTTAAAAGGACGTGATACCGGCGTGTGTTGTTTCAGTTCAACTAACTGGCAACATAGTAAAAACATGCTTACGCAGACTGAGTAGAACTCACTTTTAATAATTTTAATTTTACAGTAAAAGCACCTATTATAAAGTGAAAAGAAGACAATATTCTGGAGACTGAATACAATTTTCCATTATTCCAATTATAACGCTCTCAATGCATCGTTTAGAATTAAAGAATACTTCAACATTTTAAAATTAATTAAAAAAAATGCATCGTCTTGCCTTCCGGGAGTTTTTATTAGTTAGACTGAGACAGTTGATGCAGGCATGCCGTTCTCTTAAAGCAGACACTTATTATTTATAACATAGTAAATCGATTATATTATATATACTTATATACAGCGCTTGTCACTCAAATGGTAACACGGAATATTTCAGTCGGATGCATTTAAATCGAAATCGGGATTTTTATTGGAAAGATCGGGGTACGACTTATAACATCTAAATACACATTTTGAATCAATTTTAAAAATATTAACCACACGCGCCGTAAAACGTAAATATTCTTAAATGGAAACATCTATTTTTTACACCAGATTCGAATAGTTATTCTATATTTGACTTTGTCTAATATACATTTTTCCAATTCTAAAAAGATACAGTCGTCTTTTTATGGTTTCACCATGTAAAATTAATTAAAAAATACGATTTGAAAAAAATATTTAAAAGAATGATAATATTAACTTTTATAAGTTACTAATTTTTTTTCAAAATCGAGAAAAACTCGTACCTAAGTGAAATAATAATATTTTCATAATATTGGACGAAAAAAAAACGTGCGGGAACTTGAACGTGGTCACGCGCGTATTCACTGTTACAGCGGAATGCCTAGGGGTTAGGATTTTTAAATCGGAAAGGGGGGAATAGACATTGATAAAACGAAACGTATAAAATATAGAATAGTTGAAACAAAATAATCTTTTAAATAAGCTTTTTCCTTGAGGGTATTATGCGAAATACATAATTGTGTAGTATGATTATTTGTATTCGGTTGCGATATAGTTATTTTTATTTTTTTTATAAATCGATATTAACACGGCCAAGGTGTGGGGGGATTGAAGCCCCCTTAGTCGCCCTATGGATACGCCACTGCACTGCAATACTTATATCGTATTTTTTTTCCATTCGATATATTTATATATATATATACATGTATACGTAAATCACGCGTACTGATAATATCGTAAATATATATTTCTTAGATTCCAAGTGCCGCAAGGAATGTGTCGGTTTTACTACAATGTGTATATATTTTTTTTTTTTTTTTTTGCGTCTGCTAACAAATATTATATTACCAGACATTTTTCTCCGATCTACAAATGTACCTAGCATATTTTCTGAAAGCAAATTGTATGTAGTTGGCGCATTACGAGATCGTTTTCTTTAAATTTTTTTTTGTTGTTTTCTAAATAATTAAAAAAAAAAAAAAAACGACGAGAAAAATCGCAGGAAAAACAGACAAATATACGCAATAACGGTTTTTGTTATTTTCGATTTTTTTTTTTTTGTATTGCGAGTTGGTTAGAAATAATCAAAAATATCTGAAGTTCGTCAGATTATTAGCTCTTTATAGACTAAAAGTTTCAAATCATTCTAAACAATTATTGTTGAGCTATTTATAGAATATTTTGAGTTTTTATTTGATGTTACGTGAATAAAATTGTCATGGCTCAGTTAAAATGTTTGAAAATTTAACTGCACTAGCTGCATCGTCAGTTGTATATAATGGTGAAAAAAAGTCTTGCTTAATGTAGTAGTTTTTCTTTTATTAGTGTTTCATGTTCAAATTTTATCCCTTTATTTATTTAATTTAAAAATCATGACATATCGAAACGTGTTTAATCGAACTTTGCTTGGATTAATTTTTCGTTGGCAGTGATTTATCGTCGCGTACACGTATAAATTAAATTACCCCATATATGTATCCTACCTTCATAACTTTTTCACCTACAATACCGACACACCCGTCAACAGTATCAGCTCTTTTTTTTAAAATTTCATTATTTTTATTCTGCAACAATACTCTCAACATTCCGTTTCGTACATAATCATCGCTGCTGGTCTCACGAAATAGTTTTTTTTTTTTTTTTATATTTAAAGCCGTTGAGACCGTCACATCCTCCTCCGTCTATTCCGATCTTGTACTAAATCTGAATTCCTGTGTTCCGATTCTGAGAAGTCCGCGTAATCCTTCTTAACGCAATCTTCCCAACGACACCGTGCAGACATTTCCCCCCTTGGGGTTTCTTCTGTGAATTTTCAACCGTCGAGCATTGTTTTCCCCCGCGAACGGCCTCCGCGCGAGGCCGATCTTTCCGGCGTCTTTCCGTTCGTCTACCGGCACCTGCAGTCCGAATTGAAACAATTGCGACACGTCGCGTATTTTCCTCCGTTCCTGCGCGCGCTGGTCACCAACGCGTGTTGCGATCCGCCTTTCCGCGGGGTTGATGGCGGCGGCGGTGGGGGGGGGGGGGGGGTGAAACCGCAAACAAACCGGCGCGCAGTCCGGATTCTTATCGGTTTTCCTCGACGAACAACCGTCACCGGTATAACATTGTCAAACGCACACGGATAATACGGTCATTGCGCGCGTGACGCACTCGCAAGTGTGCACACGGGCCGAGAGAATACCGGCCGTTTTTCCGCCGAGATAATTATTACGAAACGGGCATCGCCCCGGAGCTACGCGATACATTATTATTATTATTATTATTGTAATAAAATGTATCGCGTGCGTATCCGCGGTCACATACGCGCGGCGCGGCCGGGCGTCCTTGGTCTCCGTGACGGCAACGACTCGCAAGAGAGTACAACAATATTTTATACTGCGCCGGGCGGCCAGGTTGCCAAGCCGTTTTCTTCGCCGGCACCGTACATTCCAGTGTGGCGGTGTAGTGTATAGTGTAGGTAGGTGGAGGTACCCACAATATAATAATAATAATAATAATAATAATATAATGCGATAATATTATACGCGCGCATATACGACCACCGCATTGTGCGCGCCGCGCGCCCGTATTATGCGCGTTATGATATTACGACGTTGCCGCGACGGCGGCGGTGTTTTTTTTTTTCTTCATACCGAATGCGATTTATAAATAATATTATTGCCATTATATTTAATATGTTATTATTATTATGTGGTACTTTTACTTTCACTTTGCGTTACGACGGCCGCCGTCGCCGCCCTCGCACCGGAATACCGACGGCCGCGGCGCGGCGACGGCGACGGCGAAGTTGCGCGATACGATACGATACGCGTACCTGCGGTACACCCGACCGAGGCGGCGGCGGCGGCGGCGGCGGCGAGGGGCCCGGCGCGCGAGGCCGCGGACCGACGTCGACGGCGGCCCGCGGGCACCCGCGGCCCGACGGAATTTCGGACCTGTAAAACGACAAGCGCAATAATATCGTTTTGAACGTACGCGCGCGCTTTGTTACAATAATATTATAACGTTATCGTTATCGTTATTATGACCGGGGGAACTGGGGGGGGGGCGCCGAGTCAGCGTCGCCGTGTGGCATTAAAATATCGTCGGCGTTCAAATGCGGAAGAACAGAGCCGAAGAAGAATGTCGTCGCCAAAGTCGACATTTTCCCCGTCCATTTCGTGTGGTAGAAATATTTTGTTTTATTGCAAAACAATAATAATAACGGTGTTTGCTGTGCACACAAACAAAAACGGAAAATACCACCCTACACTGCGCACTATTCAATTCGGAAGGGGACGCGCGAAAAATGCGTCCAGTCAATAACGACCCGGAACTTTTAATTGGCAAATGAGAGAAAAAAAAAAAAAAATTCAAAAACGCAACACGAGCAAGTCGTTAACAATTCGCCATAATTTAAGATTTTAGGTGTTCTGTGTTGTTTAACATAATTTTCACACTTAAACGTTCAGGATTCATCGGGGTTTTTGTTTTGTTTTTTTTCAAATTGCATTATACAGTTTAATTCACCGCAATGCGCGATATAACTTAAAACGGAAAAAAATCACGACTTATCCTAAATAGCAAATTGAAATAACATGTTTTATATAGAAGAAATTTACCTTATATACGAAAAATGGAGATTTTTTTGTACTATTTAAATAACTAATTTTTTTAGAACTTGGTGACCTAAAACCTTTTTAATGCGCACCCGCGCGAATTGTATTTATTATTATATTACACTTCCAAAAAAACTGTGGAAATTCGATCATAAAAATGGTAGGGTTAGGGTTGGAAACCCCTAACAAATAGCGCAGTCTTGATACTAACACCGTGCATATATACACCATTGCGTTTCTCTGGCTTAATTCGGAGAATCTGTTGGGGGTTACAAAACTTAAAAAAACACCCTCTATCCGCAATAGCACGAAAGAATTGAATTCATATTTAAATTCAACCCTACTTTTGTCGCTTCAATTCGCTTACGAAACAACACTGATTTGCTTGAAAAATATGCTCATATGGTCCAAAGGGAGCCGTTAAAAATGTCCTTAAAGTAGCGCGGAAAAAATATACATGTATACCTATTACCTATATAAATAACAGACACAATACAGTGTTATAGTTCAGGGCCGTGTTTAAGCGCAATACCTTCACATAGGTTGCAGTCTATGGGCTCTCACCACAGAACGGCCTGTGTAAAAATAAAATCGATTAAATCTAATTAGTAAACTCCCTTCCCCTAGTGGGCCTAGTGGCCAATGCACCCTAAATACGGTTCTGCTATAGCCTCTATTTAGGGAGAAAATTCGATAAGAACGTATTAACATTGCACGATACTTATTTATGTCTAAAAATAAACGTCTTGTTACTTATAAGCGTAAGGGCGCACGTCACTTGAAAACGTCCATACAAGCGCTTTGAAATTATGCACTGAAAATATGCCATCTAAACTTCGGAATATGCATCGAAAAATGTCGGTCATCAGAAACCAATTTATAGTTTTTGCTCATGGTGCTTTTGGGACTTATCAAAACGAATTATACTAATGGTACAAGTTTTGAGCCTTAATAACGTAGGTAATATTATAATAATACGACGGTAGTTCGGTTTATTTATGTAGTGTATATTAATTTGTTTGTTTGTCTGCGTAAATTTCGCTTGGGCAAAAATAATCGAACACATTCGAATCCCAGCACCTATTTCACTCGTGAATTGCCAACCGTGAAATTTGTCAGGAAAAAAAAAACTCAATTCGAATAGTTTCTCGATTTTAGAAAAGACATTCGCTCGGATCGTCTCCGATAGATTTCATAAAATTATAATAAAAAATTCAATTAATATGTTAAATAATATGGAAATATTCAATAAACACTGTAATACAATATTTAATTAAATAAGTACATGCATAAATAAAAAGATGTGAATATACTTTACATATTGGGTGGGTCACTGTTGTGAGAAGTTGGGAAATTTAATACTAAAATTCTTATAAAAAATTCTATATTATACTCAATTTTTTTTTTTTTTTATCACAAAATAGTATAATATAAAAATTATAATGAACCTCTTGTTAAATTTTCAAGCACTTCTATTTGGTTTAATAGCTCAAAAATGTTTTGAAATTTTACCATGTCTAGAAAAAGTAAATATAATTTTCTGTACACATTTTTAAGTTTCTACGAATATTTTTAACTGAATTACAATAAAAAGAAAAATTTAAAATAATAAATTTTGTAAGTTTCAACGTTTTTCCTACGTTTTTTCCAAATTATTATGAAAAGTCAAAAAATTACCCCTTTCAGTACCACTCAGATAAAATTTACTTTCAGAAAAGGTGCTGTATGCATTTAAAAATCGGAGCAAAATTTAGTAGAAAAATTGTTCACAGAAAAAATATAATAAAATAAACATTATTGTAAAACCAATACATTCCTCGCTTCGCTCAGAATTTGAAATATAGTAATAATAATAAATAAATAATTTTCACTAGGTTTAAATTGATCTGTTCACGTTTTAATGTAATGCAATTGCGTGTAATTTAATTTATCTAGTTGACCCGTGCGGAAAATTCGCATTCGTTCAAGGAAAGATCTCTAGGGTCAATCATACATATTTAACTTTAGTTTTTAAACAAATAATAGATTGCACAGTTTTAAATTAACAATTCGTTAGAAGAGGGCATCTTAATCTATAAAATGGTACCTTGTTAGTTATTTATTTATTTTGGTTAAGTACGAACGGAGAAACAGTGTTTGTCGCAAAAACTCGCATTTTAGAAATAATATATAACATTTTACCTGTTAAATTAAGGTTTTGACATAGATTTTATTTTATTTGTCATTGTAGAGTTGTCTGTGCTTCACTTTTTTTTTATTTCGACTACATAAGATTTTATTAAAATTGTGGTACCATTTTGCATATTATTTTTCATTACGTCTAAAAATGTATAGACGTTTGGAAGTCCTGTTAAAAAATACGAATTATGGTATTATTTTTCTTTTGCTGTATAAAACGAATTGCAAACACGAATTGTCTTCTTTGTATTACTGGAAATGAGGGACGGTCAAATCGGGAGAAATTAAGAGGGGGTATATCTCCCCTCTTAAACTATTCCGTTTCAATATTGTATAATATAATAATAATTTCAGTTGTTGAAAAAATCAAATAATGGAAAATACATTAAAAGATTTTACTCACATTTTTTTCCTTCAACCATCATGACGTACCAAGTACACCCTAGATGGTTATTGATTCACTCTTTCGTAATTATTATCAATATACCCTCTATCACAACTATAGTTTATATTTTCTTAGAGTATCTAAAATATGATGTTCATATTGCCTAAAAACCATCAAATATTATCCTTATATTATATTAAAATTAATAAATAATCAATACATGGTTTATAATATACAATTTTTGAAAACAATATTTTATCAAAAATATATACGTATATACATAAAAAAATGACGGTTGTTAAATGATTTTAAAAATATTTTTTTCTAACACTTTAATTTTAAAATCGATTATATTTATAATTTAATGATATAATAAGTTAGTATTAGTTTTTATCAAAATTTAAAAAATGTTCCAAAATATGCTAAATTACGAAATGTTCTCAAATCCCTGGGATATTTTCATATATGTAAAAAAAAAAATAAAAATATTTTCCTGTGAACTGTGCGAATTATCCACATTTTTCACTCTCGTCAGAGTGCACATAATCCTGCAACATTTCGTACAGGTATTGTGTCCTTAAATTCATACGTTCTAAAGTATTTATTATTTATTATATCTATATATAGCAGAACTTAAATTCCCTCGTCCTTTCCTAAAGAATTACCTCATGTACGCCCACGACTATCGATATTCATTATCGACTATCGACGACGATTTATTTTACTAGAATCGATGTAGCGATTAATCGGTACGATACGGTAGGCGATTCGATCAGTGTATATAATACGCTTGTAATACACAATATTATATAGGCGTCGTATTCGAACCGAATCCGAAATATCAGGGATGCGATTCTGAAGTGAAAAAAAAAAACAAAAGTCGAACAATTTGGAAAACGGTTCGCGTGTGTACCGAAAGTAATACAATTATGGAAAAACACATTTTTAAAATGAGTCAGCGGAGCAGCAGTACCGCCGCCGAATCATTTGGAAAATCTGTTCGCGTCTGTTTGTAAATCAATTACTGCGCAGTGTGAAGGAATAAAACAAAAAAAATAAATAAAAAAATTATAACGGGTTTTTATAAATGTTTATATATAATTTTGATCGCGCTGTGGTGGTGGGGGGGGGAGGAGGAGGATAATCTTATTACATAAAAACCATAATATTTTAATACAATATGACCCAGCGGTTCGACAAATATAATGATGCGACGTCTTGTAAACTCATAATGTATAATGTAATAATATTGTTACGATGGCAGAGGAATACAAATACTATCGGGTATACGTATACTTGTAATATTTTTGGGGATTTAGCCAGTAGGATAAATTCGAATTTAACGCGGGGCGCCTATATATTATATTATGTTATTGTAAGATATTATAGACACCCGTATAATCGTCATGAAAATAATATTCGGGTGGTAAAATACAATATATAGAAACGTAAGAAGAAAAAAAATAACAATAATAATAATAGTGATTAGCTTCACTCAAACTAGATACCTATAATATTATATCCAGTTGACACGTCATCGTCGTAATGTATCGTATTTTTTTTTTTTATAATAATATTACACCAGCATCAAGTTTGCCAATAATAACGATTATGTGTACCTACGGATATTTTCGTTGTTCCGCGGTGTATTATAATTTGTATAATAATACTTGTAAATATAACGTAAAAAGAAAAAAAAAAATAAAAGAAAAAAATTAGTCGCACATGTTATCATTATTAATAACGCGAGTGTGTGTTATAGCGATATTGCGAGCGTATAATACCACAGTAAACCCACAATTTTACCATTATGTATACCGGCAATGCATATGCACATAATATACGTACCTATACGTATTTAATCACAATATTACTACTATTATCCTAACCTGAAATCTTGTATACATTTTTACCTGCAATTATAATCCAATTTTCGTGTCGTATACTCCAGACGCGTATTTATAATGTTATGCATAATGTTAAATGCGTATGGTTGAAATATACATAATCGATCGACTACTCCCACCGTGTGTGTATAAAATATATAATAATAATAATAATAATAAAAAAAAAAAAACCGCACCAAAAAATTATTGTTTGTTACGCCATCGCTGCAGTTATACGTACCTTTGTAGGTACCTGTATACCTCTTAAAATACAACAGATTATTATAATACACTTACGTTGAAATGCAAAAATACACTTTATTATTATTATTTTTTTTTTGTTTTGCATACGCCGTAATATCCGTGCCTATCTATTTATTATAATGCACATTATTGTCTACTGATTCGATTTTTTTTTTATTTTAATCGATACCTTTTATACACTGCCGGAATACATTTCAATAAAATTGAAAAAAGTCTGTATGTATGTGTATGTCTGTATAGTTTTTCATACAATATACCAATTAAATATCTTAATTAAAAAAAAAAAACAGGTCGTATTTCTATTGTATTCGTAATACGTCGTAAGTTCATCGCACAATGGAAATATATGGTACATTATTATTTTTTTTTTATTCCAAGATATCCATAAATTAAAATTTATAATCACCCGCGCCTCATTTTGTGTCGCAAACCATGGCCAATGGTAATAACAATATAATATTATAATATTACGTTTATATATATTTAGATTCTTAGCGTGGCGAGAAATGTGTTATTAAGGATGATTAATGCGATGTGTAATTTTTATTTCGTTTCTGTAAATAGCTTTTCGACAAGAAATCTTGTTCCAATTAAAAACGTTAAAGGAATTTTTAGTGGACAGTTTTGTCTAGTCGGTATACTGTATAAATACATTGGTGTTATTCGTTTTTAAAAAGGAATGTATTATGAAGAAATGCATTAGGTGTTGAAGGAATGTAAATTATTAATGGTTCATTGATGTTTTGTCATTAACGACGATTAATATGATGTGTAGTATGTGTACATATTTTTGTGTCTGTATTAAACAATTTTTCGATAAGAAATAATGTTCCGATCGAAAACGTTAAAGAGACTTTCTAGTAGACATTTTGTCTAGTTGATGCATTGTTTTTGTTTATTTTTTGAGATTTTCTTTGTTGTTCACGCAGACAAACTAGGGGGGAAAAGTGAGGAAAAATGGGAATATTTAATGATAGAATATGGTTTCGGTTCATTTAAATGAACCAACCAATAAAAATTTCTTTTCTGAACGATTTTTGATTTTCTTTTTGTTGTTTTTGTATAATTCGATTAAAAATAATCGTATAGAGACCAACAATTTGCATACCATAATTATATTACACCTTTATTTTTAATTTATTTCACCTTTACTGTTTTGCGTTTGAAATGGTCTATCGTTACACTATGTATTATACTAATCGATTATATTATCCTAATATATTTATTGTATATACCTTCCCGACTTTCCACTTATGACAGCGGCCTATTTACGGGCATAGGCGCAACTGGATCGAAATTTCAGATGATGCTTAAATTTTAAAGAGTACAAATAATCTTTATTTAAGTTTTTACCTTTTCGACGTAGGTATTTAGTAATAGACTGGCACTAGATTGGTCAACGGAGATTCAATCATTTTATGATCCAGTTTCATATTGTGGACCTAGTAGGGTATAGTCTCATCATTTTTTTTTTTTTTAGATTCTGCAAATACAAGCTTTATCTATATTATTTTTTTTCTGTCTGTTAACAACTTTTCAACCAGAAACCTTGCTCCAATTTTCAAGTGAAAGATTTCTTTTTATTTTCAACCGAATTACAACAAAAAAATTAAATCAAAAATAATAAAATCATTATATCCGTAATCATTTTCGTATTTCCTACGTTTTGTCTAGTTATTTATCGTTATAAATAAAACTATACGATTTTGGTCTTTAAGATTATCCCGTCCAACATATTTGTTTCCCCCTTTTCCTTTCTAGTGATAATTCTTTTCAATCTTCTCGTGGCACCTTTTTTTTTACGTCTTCGTTTACTTTGTCTTCCCCATATTAATCTTGGACGACTAATGGTATTTTTCCTTGGAAGGGGGGAGTCGTTTTCTTGGACCTTCTTTCGCAGCGATCGTTCCTTACGCCATATGTGCCCAGCCTAGATTAGTCGTTTCTTGGCAACGTTTTCCACAATACTTGAGCTTTGATATATCTCTTTAAGTAACTTATTTTTCCGGAATCTCTATTTTCAAGTATTTATGTTTTTACATTGGCTATATATTTTTGTATAATCGTTTAAATTGTTTAAAATACGTTTTTAAAGCCGGGAACTTGATACGTTCGCAACATATATCTCCATAACTGCCGTAGCCAGTCCGCCACTGTAGGTATTTTATTCATGTGGTAATGAGTGTCGTTAGTACGTATACGACAAAACAAAATAATTGTAGTAGTCTAAAAATTACTTTAAATTACCAATATCCCCGAGCTTAATGCCATTGATAATATTTCATTGTGGTCATTATTATTACTATCAAGCCTGAAACCATTCTCTTTTTACAAATCTAAAATAAAATAATTCAAAATGTAAGTGTTAAAATAATGAACTTGACCAACGAAAAACATAATATTGAAATTGAACGTAAAAACCAAAAACAACGGCTAGGACAATCGGGGAGTGCTTACACGTTGAGCCCGGGGGCACTCAAGTCTCTCTAGTGTTGTCCTAGTTGCGCCATGTCTGCCTATGTCCTATATTCTACTTATTTATTTATTATTTGCAGTTAGACAATTATAATTAAATACATTTATTAGGGCGGTCCCCGTTTTTATATTTTCAAAATGTCAATTAACTCGGATCCCGTTAACTTGTTTTTAGTAACGCGAGAAAAAATGTTACGAAAAATCGCATAACGATAACTCACCTCTTTCACGTCCCTAGATTTTTTTTTAGGAGGGTGTTTTAATTTTGTGTTTAGATGTAACTTTATAACTTTATTGTGCGCATGTAACACACATAACATTATATTATGTTATGTGTTAATTATTAAGTATATTATATACACAATATTTATTATCTATGTATCTATGCGTAACACATCTTGTAGAAATCCGATGCATAACTGCATATAATAAAAATTATAATTGTCCGCATAAATATAGTCAAAGAGGGGAGTTTGAACACTAAAACACCCCCACCCTCTTTCTCCCAACGTAACTGCGACAACGGATAGTAGTTTTCCGATTTTTTTGGATTTAAGGGGGGGGGAAACCCCGGATATAACTCTTTAAAGTTTAAAGGACCATTATTGGGAATTTCCGATAAAAAAAAAAAAATTAAATAAGTAAATACATTATTTATATATTTATCTTATATATAAAATTCTCGTGTCACGTGTTTGTGGTGGTCGCACTCCTCCTAAACAACGATTTTATTGGAAATTTTTGTGTATATTTGGTAAGTCTGAGAATAGGTCGTAAAGTATACACCAAATAATTTAGTTTTAAGTATAATAAATACAATTTTTTTTTTGTCGATTTGTGTTACCCCGGTAACAGGGATGACAAAAAATGGTGATTTATTATTATTAGAAATTAATCGGAATATATCACGTGATCATCAAAATCGGTCCAGCCATTCTTGAGTTATAAATGGTGTAACTAACCCAAATTTGTTTTATTTGTATACTTATATGTATTTTGTTCATTCAAGGGTTGCCATGGAAAAGAAAAATATAATAATAATAATTATTATTACTGTTATTTACACTATTCAAATTTCACAATAGAACACATTTAGTCCGCCGAAGGTGGACTACCCACTTTTCACCTATTTGTTTTCATTCAATTCTAATAAGGCCAAAACCAAAAATGAATACGGGTAAAATAATAACAGTACAAATTGGCACGGATAACGCCGGGCGCGGGACAGCTAGTATATCAATATATATATATATATATATACATATTATTCTTAAAGTTCACAAAAAGCGCTTAAAAAGTCATAAAAGCCCTAAAAATATCATTAAAAAAATATTTAATAGAGCAATAAAAGTAGATGGTTTTAAAAGTTTCCCCGTCTATGGTTTCTGACTTATCGAAAACAATTTTTTAACATTAAAAAAAAAAAACCGATTATTACAAATTATTATACTAATTTTCTTCAAGTATACTTGTACGAGTATAAAAAAAAAAAAAAAAAACCGTTTTGTATTAATTATTAATTGTTAGTGTTAGAAAATAGTATTTAATAGAACCGTTAAGAGCGGAGATTTTAAAACCCCATTACCATTTTTGTTTTTTTTCAATATTTTTTCAATTTTTTTTTGCGGATTTTAAGTGCATACATATAAATCCGTTCTCTATAATTATTACGCGTATACGCGTCGACGGTAAGCCGTCATAACTAGGGTCCGAATCTCTATGCTCTAAAACCTTAGAAATATACGCTAAACAAATACGCATTTATGTTTTTTTTTTTTTTTTTTTTGTAAAAATATACCCTTAAAAATAAAACATTTTTTTTTTTTTTTAATTTGTATTACATTTGTCTTTGTTTTTAAAGTAGACACACGAACGATCGGACGACGCTTACAACAAAATCGATTAAAAAAAAAAAAAAAAAACTTTGTATTTCCGCAGTTCTATGTTCACAGCGATATTCAAACCCGTGTCTNTTACATTTGTCTTTGTTTTTAAAGTAGACACACGAACGATCGGACGACGCTTACAACAAAATCGATTAAAAAAAAAAAAAAAAAAAATGTATTTTATTTTAATTATTTCTACGGTCATTTTTAAACCAATATAAATACAAAATATCGAAAAACAGTAAAATACACGTACGAAATAAGTTGAAAAAAAAAAAAAAACTTTGTATTTCCGCAGTTCTATGTTCACAGCGATATTCAAACCCGTGTCTTGTCCAGCTATACTTTCCGGACTGTGTAATGAATAGAGAAACAAGAAAAGAAAAACGCGCATAAATCCCCGGGACGTACGACAGTCGTGCAGACTCACGACCGTTGTCGCGCGCGCGCGTTCGCATTACAGTGCCCACTCGTTCGGGCTCGTGTATTTACCCCGTCATAAAACGTCGCGTTTACATTTCGGTACGGTGCCGCGAGATTTTCCACAATTACGCGCGCAGTTGCGCAACGTCAACGCGCCGCACGCGCGCGCACCGCCCGTACGCCCCCGCCGCCGTAAGCGTAATACGCAATTTACATTTACGTATGTAAAGTGTACGCGGCGGCGGCGGCGTTGCGCGGGTACAGTAACGTACACGCCGCGTTATTTGACAAAAACGCGGGAACACGTCGTAACAACAACAACAACAACAACAACTACAACAACAATAATAACAACGCCGACGACAACGTTTACGCGCGCAGCGTTGTGCGTGCAGGCGAGAGATACGACAAATGGCCAATGAATTGCGCAACGTCACGACGCGCGGCGTATACCTGTAGGTGTGCGCGCGCGCTCGCATTGATGGACATTCGTTGTGACACCGCGTCCCGACGGAACGTATAATAATATTGTTATTGTTATTATTGTTGTTGTTGTTATTACGTGCGCCGGTGTTCGACAATGACGGGCGCGCGACGGTTACGGAGAAATAAACGACCGCCGCGGCGGCGTGGCGGAAAACTCCCGAAAACGCGAGCGGAAATAAATACGAGGCCGTCGCCGTTATTTATCGTACGTGTTTACCTGCCGCCGCGACACGATATTTCGTCACGGCGGCGCGCGACTTGCTCGGCGCGGCGCGATCGATTTCGATCCGGCGCGGCGGCGTGGCTCGACTGGGGATGGGGGTGGGCGCCCGGGGGGATAAGGGCGGGATCCGGGAATTTTCCGAGCTGGTAGGGCGCGCGCTTTTTGCCCCGGTTTTTCTTTTTTTTTTCCGTCGAATTTCGCGTTTTCAAAACAATACGGCGGCGGTTCGGAACGCCCGCGCGCATTTGATACACGAAATAATATTTCCATGCGAAAGTAAACACCCGTAGAAATGCGTACGGTCCGCGCACACGGTCGGCGGGTAGGTATGCTGCGACGCCGGTCGGTTATTGTACCGGTTCGATTTATGGATGTTTAATTTCGCGAAATTTCCAAACGTTTAAAACGACTACGCCGCCGTAACATCCGCTAGTCCCGCAACGGCGACGCTGTAATGCGTCGGTTGTTCGCACGCGGTTCTATTTCAGCCGATTGTTTATAATCGTTTTAAACACTGTTATTATTATTATTGTGTCCGTGGAGAGAAAAAGAAAAAAAATCAAAACTTCAGGAAATCCGTTATGGACGTATGTAGATAGCAAAAGAGCTAGAAGAGCCCGGCGAGAAAGCGAAGCAAAAGCAGCGGTTTTCCCGCGTGCCGGCGAAATATTCAAGAGAGATACACAAGAAAAAAGCTTCTTGTCGGCACGATTATAAAATATATAAATACATGGAATACATTTTTTAATCAACTTATAGGGGAGGGGGAACCCCTGGTGCCACCACTGAATCCTCCGCTAACGATCCAGCGATTTTCCCGCGGAGGATTTCGTGTGAATTCGATTTCTATTGTTTTATCCCAGGAGATTGCTAAAAACTGACAAGTCACTCGTATTATAGTTATGCCACAGTGTATTCAAAAAGTTTCGGGGGAATACGTGGAAATAATTTTTTAAACTTGAACTCTCTTTATCACAAGTAAAACTATAGTAAAAGGCGAAATTCTCTGAAAACTTTGCAAAAGTACAATTGAATTTTAGGCGAAACAGTCGCCCGTAAGCTGAGAAAAAGCGCATATCGTAAAAGAATCAGAATCTAAGGACATACACACCGTAGTAAACCGTGCATTCCTCGCTCAACTCAGAATCTGCGATACCCGCAGAACGAATAAAATAATAACACACCACGGTGTTTCGGCGCCGGTGTTATAATATTAACTTCCGCGACTAATGGAACCATTAACATAATGCAATTAGGCGTGTGCAGGTAAGTCGTTAAAATCAGTAAACGATGACGAACACTGAATACGCTTAACAAAATATTACTTTTAATCGATTGCATATTTACTTAAGCACTTCAGATATATATCGGTACCTATGGGTATAGGTGTGTAAGTGCACGTTTGTTTTTATTCGACTGTATACATATAAAAAAAAATGTGTAAAACCTGAAAAATTAGAGACCGTGATTAGCATTAATGACAACACCGTTGTCGAAATACGTATTCTTTAAACAATTTGAAGGATTTTCGTGGTTTGTATTTCATATATTTAATTATACGGTTAGTCATATTATTTTGGTTAATTAATTTGATTTGACTGCTGTTCGTTATTTATTTACGCTACGTCGACGAAATAAAAAAATAAAAAAGAACTGATACTGCTGAGGTGTGCCACAGTTGTAGATGGCAAGGAAGGATAAATGAGGTGGCGTAATTTATATCTGTACGTAACGATAAATCATTGTCAACGCAAAACGATTCTGAGCCAAGTTCGGTTAATCGTGTGTGTTGATAAACACGAATTGAAAATTGCGTTTATTTGTAACTATAAAATAAATTACAATTCTCCGTATCGAATTGTTGAGTATTTTTATCGGGTCAAAAAAGTCGAATCCGCGTAAACCGGAAAACAGTACGCGTATTACTCGAAATGCTGTCGGTTTTCGTCAAAATCTGAAAGCGAAATGTTTATTAGAAAATCTCGATTATACAGATTTTCGATAGCTATTGGAGTACCGCAGAGCAATTTTCGAGCATTTTTGAGTGATAAAACAAATTTTATCCACATAAAGAAAATACACATGCACACACCCACACATCGTATTAAAACCAATACAAATAACTTAACTAAAAATAAGAGACGATAAAAAAAAAAAACGGAAATAATTTTGTTAAATATATATGTATATATTTGTATTTTATTTTTTCATTTCACCGCTTTTCACAAATCACAATATTCAATTGTATATTCCGTTTCACATCACAATAAATAGTGTATTTTTTTATTTTTTTATTTTTTTAGAAAATATAAAAATATATTTTCAATCTAATCTGCTGTAGTATATTTTTGTACAGTACAATAAACACATTTTATAACTTTATACATATTATTATTACCAATAAGTTCGATAGAAAAAGTAAAAAATCATTTAGTGAGAGCGTGCATATTTCCCTCGATTCAATATTATAATAGTTCTCAGTTCTCGACGTTTTTTTTTTATTTTTTTTTCATTTTTTTCTGTGTACAATAGGTGAACAAAACAAAAACAAAAAAAATCACACAAAATAGAACAAATGTAGATTTTCTGGATAACAGAATGTTTAAGGGGGGGAAAAAAAGTACACGTTAACTTTCCCAACCAACAAGCAGGTAATATATAATATTATTGTTACAAAAATAATTTGCTCACACGAACTACGGTTTTTTTTTTTTTCCCAGATAACTCCTGATTATATTATTATAAACGGTTTTCGGCGTAATGCAACCATATTTGTATTATAATGTCGTTTCCATAAATTAAGGCGATATAATGGTAATAATAATATTATCTATGATACACGTAGGTATTACACGGTTTTTCATAATATCAACTCGACAGGTATTTTCGATTTTCACAGTGTACACCCGTGTTGGTTTACTGTATAGTTACACATTACGGTGTCAATCACACGAATAATCGCGCGGCGGCATATTTCAAACCATGTAATAATACAATAAGCGGGGCGTACCTAAATAGTACACACCTGACAGTTTTAATAAAATATTAGGTGCCTATATCGTTTACACCTTTTGCGAAAATATCATTTTACTTTTCGTCATTTTCGTCGTCGATGTCGAAAATCCCATAATTTACGCGCCTGCTATACCTGTTACGATATTATCTATTGTTATTAAGTTGATAACACATATGGACGATCCACAAAACTGTAGTGTGCACACACCCCGGCCGATAGTATTGTATATAGGAATGGAAAATAATAATTTTTTTTTTATGGATTCTAAGCGCCCCGCGCCGATGTTGTGTTTTTATTAATCATTTATTTATTTGTAAACTGATTTTTAGCAGAAATCTTGATTCAATCAAACACTTATATTGTTATAGAAACTTTTTTGTAGAATCAAATTTATTGTAGAAATAGATGATTATTTTTCTTTTTCCTTGTAGTTTTTTTAACAATTGAGGAAAACTTATGGCAATATAGATTTCGTGTTGTTTTCGAATTTGGTGAAATATTCAAAATTCTAACGATTGTTGAGATATATGTATTTATTGGCATTAGACATTTTAGATTTTTTTTTTTTGTTATTATTTAGTTTTGTGTTGATAAAGCAGAATTGACCGAGCAGAAATGCTTTGAAATTTAACACACAATTTTTAAGTTGTACTTATGTGGTAAAAAAAAATAAATTAAAACCGTAATTATAAAATCTTCAGTTTATCTAGAGTAAATTTCATCCATATACGTGTATCTTTAAACATTATCATACTAAATTATATCTACTATAGATACAACGTGGTTCAATCTTACTACAATAAAAGATATACGTTCGTATTTTAAACAATTCTTTAAAAAATAAAAATTAAAGAAGTCTACATGCCGACTCCGACTTGGAGAGCGGTTTGTTTTTTTCTTTCCTATAGAGTGATTTTCTTCGTTATACTAATAAATTATATAGGATAGTTTATCATCTGCACGCAGTCCATTTTTATTTTATTATATTAATCATATAGATATAATATCTGTTTGATATTTTTGACATTAGGTTTTTATTGCCAAAGCGGTAGGGATTGTCTAGTATATTATGGTTGTCAGATACTTATAGAAAATACGGTCTGCGGATTATTATATTTTAATTATATTTTAGATTACCATAGCAGTAATTGGGTTTGTTTTTGTAAATAACCAAAGACTAATCTAGTTTGTCGTTTGGAACAATTAAAAATATTATTGATGTTTTGATGTGTACACGGGAATTGAGTATAGAGAGTAGAAAGGTCATATATTATACAAATCATATAACATTATCAGTTTTTATGTTAATATTATTTCTGATCAAACAAACTGTACACCTTTTATAAGATTTGTTGGACCATATCAACATTTTTACTCGATGTATATTTTATCGAGAATGTTGTCAATTATCGTTGGACAAATTGTTGACATTTTGTATAAACTAAATTGCTAGTTTATCTCGTGTATACAAATCGTTAGTAGAGAAACATCGATAATAAATCCAGGAATTGCGCTAATGTGCAGTTCTAAAAGAAATATTACGCAGTTCTTAAAAACCATTAAGAATTTTCTTCAGTAAGTACAACAAATAAGGGCGAAAAAGCTTCAAAAGTATTTTATTTTAATGTTGCGTGTTACTCAAAGCTTCAAATAATAATAGTCATTGTGAAAATAGGGAAGAATTCATTGTCATCAGAAGTCATTATACAAAGAAATAAAATCATCTTGATCTTTATTTTGTATAGTTCATTCAAAATGTTTTAAAAATATATAATTCTTATTAAAATGCCAAAATAAAGGACATGGAGTTAGTTAAAAAAAAATGTTGGTCTCTAAATGTTTTCCCAACTACAGCCATAAAATAGGCATGCACATTTTAATATTTTTCCGAGCACAAGCTCTAAATATGTAATTTTTTTTTTACTATAATATACGTATGCATACGTTTGGTTATTGTGTTGTCCATATAATCTGTTGTATGGACGTTTTAAAGTTAATAATGCGTCCAAGACAAACACAATTTCGATGCAAAAATTATTATACCTAGGTATATAAGCTTTTCACGATTATTATGGATAGATACGAATTAGTTGCATTATTGCATTAAGTAAAACGTGCAGTGTAGGTAGATATTTACTTTAAATAAAATATAACATGTCGACAAGATTAATAGTGTTCATAAAGTAGATCAATAACGTTTTAGGAAATTTATTGAGAAACTGCTCCGAACTTGCAGAATACCTTGATATTATATATATATTTATTTTTTTTTAAACATTTTTTTATTTTTTTTATTAACTGCAGCACTAGTTACGGGTTTGACCACGCAACTTCAAGTTCTCGCGCCGCGGTCCTTACATTAATAACAACAATAATAGTATTATATATCTATAGTTATTAATAATATTCAATAGTTTGTACAGAGTTCAAAATTGTTTATCGTAAATGTCGAGTACTTAGGTAGTTATTAGTTTGATAGGTACAGTTACTATATTTGCCAATATATATGTATATAATAATGTAAGAAAACTATGGAATTCAAAACATCGCGGTACCTATGATATATATTATGGATACTCTATACTCGACTACTACTCGTGTAATATGTGTGGGTACGAAAACAAAACGTTTAATAATTTATAACAAAAAGCGATTTATGATTGCTATTATAGGACATTGATTACGCGCATATATGTGTATAATATTTATGTATCATTTTTAATACCTGTTTGTAGCGGTAACAATAATGATAATAAAAACGAACAAAATTAAGTACAAATTAAGTTGTAATAATGTAATTACTATCGGACTAATAATATTACTTACTATCTGCGGGACGGATAGCCTTGACTATCTATACATAACACGTATGATTATGCTCTGCAGTAGGTATAGTTACTAATATACAAAGTATACCTAATATCCATGTAAACGTTGTGAAACCTCCTTTTTTTAACATTCGCATGAAACCAGTTTAGGAATTTATGTACAATAATACCTATATGTTGTACGGGTTTAGATACATGATTGTATGGTATTGAATTTTTCGATAAATTATCGCGAGTATAACATAATACAACAATATTCGTTTTCGAAAATAAATATTCGCGGTTGAATATTCTCATGATACAGTATGCCCGTGGTGATCGATAATTTTTTATTATTTGCCCAATATAATATATTTTAATCGCGGATAGGCGTGTACACACATACACATTACACACACTGCACTGCACTGCATTGCCGATATCTGCAGTTGTATATATACACATAACAAAGAAAACTACTAATATCAAAAACGAACGTCTACACCGCTACCGTAACATTCGGTAGCGGTTTGTGAGCCTAGTGAGCTTTGGTGTTGGATAAAGATCAGTTTGGAAATATCTAGATAATCACACGAGATGATAATTGCTGGAATAATTACTTGGACGAAGGTAAAAGATGCATAACAATTCAACTATCTAGATAAATATAAATAATCAGACATTATTTTATCTAGATGAAAAAAAAAAATGTACATAATTTTGTTCATTAGGTACCTATCGTAAAACTATGAAGCGCTAAAAGCAGTAAACGCATTCCAGGTTTAGTACATAATATCTAGATTTAGATGTGCTGTGTAATTATTGATGTAACTTGACGATTAATTCATCAAGTCATATTTATATAACTTAAATAGTTGATCTATTGTTTTCGATAAATATTAAACAATTACGATTTAAAAAGATTTGTCTAGATTAATTATTTATCTGGATGATTCGATTAACTTTACCCCGGATAACGATTCAGAAAAAAATATTTCTCATTTATCCAGATAAAATAGAACAAACGGACATACCTATTTAGATTAGAAACACAACACTGTTTAATGTAAACGAAGAGGCGAATACACAAGTTTTAATACATTAATATTCTATGTACAATCAGAAATTAAAAAAAACGCGGTACTATTATAATATTGATTTGTTTTTTGTTTTGTTGATTTTAGACTTCAGTAATCAATAATTGTTTTTGAAATTTGAAAATAACCTATAATTCGAAAGAAATTCATTTGTAAAGTTTTGAACGACGACATATTTACACTTGTGAGTTTTTATTTTAACGAGAAAATTGTTTTTGGGCGTCAAACTCGCCTCGTCTGTCGAGCAGCCGCTAGTAACATTCGTAAATCGTTAAAAAAAAAAAATAATGAATCGCGTTTTGTTATTATTAGACAGAGGAATAGAAGATATTAAATTATTACACCGCGAATCTGGTCGTCGACCTATAACCCAACCTAAATTCTATACAACAGTAATAACCTAATCTAATGTACCTGCAATACGGCACAACAATTAATTCCGACTGTGTGACCGGCGAGGCGTTTTTTTTTCTATCTTGAAATTAAATTTAACACCGCGGTCGTACTACATGATAATAATAATAATAGTAAAATTACATACGCCGATTTATTTTTCGATTTTTTTTTTTTTTTATTATTTCTAATCGTCTTTCGGGTGGTCTTTGGGCCGATACTATTCCATCGAGGATGGGACATAAAATAATTTACACGCATATTTTTATAAATCTACTACTGTACTAATATACCACGGCGGCGGTGGCGTCAGCATGTGGTGAATTTTTTCTCATTCTTTCAAATCGATTTAGATTTGTATTCAACCCGATGTCTGATGCTGCAGTATAGATAACAATAATATATATATATACAATAGGTAGGTTACACTTGAAATCGATATAAACGTACGACAACAATATCTTATCAACACCCATTATTATTGTACGGGTATCGTCGTTTTCGATCATCTGTGTATTATTATTATTATTATTATTATTATTATTACTATTACTATTCTAGCTCCCGTTGTCACAATAGATTATATTAAGAAAAAAAAAAAAATGTCTCGAGGAGATATTTTATTTTTATTATTAATTTTCTATTATTGTATACGAACGCACGTGCTATCAAAAAAAAAAAAAGAAAAGAAAAAAAACAAATTTACATCTATTAAAATTAAACGGTATTTTGTAGTGGTTTTTTTCTTTTTTTTTTTCTTGACAATAGATTATTATAAATATTATATAAAGACACTATAGGTATTATGTATGGGTACCTATATATTTACTGGGAACGGTTTTAACAGCGGCGTGCGCGCGTGAAATGTTTCAAGCTGTAGTACAACCGCCGCGTCGTTGTTGTTAAAAAAAAAAATAAATAATAATATTAAAATAATAACATATTTATAGGTAGCATTAGGTGATGTCGAAGTGGTATGTACACACGTATACACAGTACCTACTGCCGGTAACCTTCGTCCATCAACAAAACGCCGCCGCGAGGACTTTCACTTAATATAATAGTAAAGGTTTATAAAATATAATATAGGGCAACTATAATAATAATAATAATTTGTTTTTTATTTTTTCGCTCAAATTTCTCAATTTATACAACTATAATACAGCCAACCTATAATAGGTACAGGTATACACTGTATAATATATTATAATAACATAACTGCAATGAGTGATACTGTCAGTAACAATACATAATATTATTATTAGGTAGGTATTTTAAAATATAATATGTAATAGATTTGGCCAACGGAATCGATTTACCCGTGGGTACCTTGAATTCGTTTTTTTCCCCTATACAATTATCAAAATGGTTTTCGATGTCGTTCTTTATTAAAACGCGTATAGTCGTGTCGTTGTATCCGAATGCGTCGTGATTAGGTTAAAACCTTAAAACGTTTTTTTCCCGGTTTTTTTTTTTTTGCTCGTGTTCGCGGTTAATTTCATTCCCCCCGAAACCCTGAAATGCGTATACAATGCGTACGGATTACCTATATTACTCGATATTCCTTTTATTCTGTGCGCCGCGAGACTGTACGTATTTATAGCAAAACTAATAATATTGTCAACGAATCCCCTAACCTTACCTTCGCGTCTTTACGGGCCATTATCGATTTCCTAAATAATAATAATATTCCTATCGCTTTTGCATTATACAGGCATGGTTTTTATTAATGTAATTTACGAAAAAAAAAAAAAGATGTATTGTATTATTATTATAAAGGTTTTTGTACATTTCAATAATGCTCTGAATGGTAAGGATTTCAAGTTCTTTTTTTTTTTTTTTTTTAAATCAACATCTTTTCATTATTCCAACTTTTGAAAATCAAACCTACCTATATCGATTAAAATATTATTTACACGATAGCGTTGTAACGGTTGAATTCAAATCGTGAACTGATAAAAATGGCTTGGCTAAATATCTATTCTACTTGTTTATATAATAATAATAAAATATCAAAACGTGCGTATAGATCTGAAAACGGTTCAGCTAACATTTTGTTAATTTAATACGTAATTTTGTTATCTTGTTGAACCGAATATTATAATTTACCGTTTAATGTCAAAGTAAATATCTGATGGAGTAAAAAAAGAAAAGAAATCGAAACGTGATTTTTTAAAACAACGTGTAGTAATAATATTGGTCACGCAACGGACAAACGAAGAGATGAAAAGTGATGCGGTTTCGAAAACGAGTCTGTACGTTCGTTTCGATAAACCGTTTCGAACCTTCAAAACGATTTCAATTTTCAAAAGCTACCCCTAGTGCAAATTTTGAAAACTGTTTTATGTTTTTAAAGTGTTTACACGACGTGAATAAGATTTAAGTAAATACCAAAACGATATCACTTCAAACCGTTTTAATGACATCACATAATAAACGTATATTAATATTATCTTGTGTATAATAATATGTAGGTATCTAATATTTTATACATTTGTTAATTTTATCGTTTATTTGCTGCAGGAATAAAACGCATGATAATATAGTCAAGTCAAAAGTGTTTACGGTTTTTTTTTTTTTAAAAAAATGATAATATAATATTATAGGTATATATATGTTTTCCCTTTTCTCTGGGATACAAAGCAGCGAAACATTGTGTTTTATTACGCAACATTGCGCGTTCTTATTATTTGTGATTCGGCAAAAATTTCCATACCGGAAAAATCGAAATAATATTGTCATTTCGACATTTTTGAAAGTCTATACACAATGTATTATGTGCCTACGTGATTGCGCAGACCCGAATCTTTAGCCCAAAAACGATTTCGAGTGTCTATATAATATATTCTGTTGGGCAGGTATAGGTACCTACCCAGCTATGAATTATCATAATTACACATACCAAAAACAAATCAAATTTGTATTATAAAGTTGTTGGTTTTTTATTTTTTGAAATCATATCTACCTTTTTAATGCATATATATATATATATATATATATATATATATACACACACACACATGTAATATTGATTGGCGAATATACGATTTTCGTATCCAATGAATGATGATCGTTTATACGTAACATAATAATAATATTCACATAACAATGATATCTATTGGACATTGTCGCAGGTATATATACAATGGCGATCGTATACACGTGTAATAACTAATATCAGTAGGCAGCAAAAAAAAAATATATATAAAGGTACGTCGAAGACATAAAACTAAACCGCGTTTGATTTAATATAATAACATTAGTATATAAAAAAAGGAGTTATATATTTTAAATTTGAATTAAAAATAGGTTCGAATCTTAGTCTATATTTTATATTATGTCGATTGGGAAAAATATGAAATAAATAGAGATTATTAACTTAAGAGAGACAGAAAATTACCTTACTTTATTATTATAAAATATAATACCCTTATTTTAAATACGCTTTTTCATTTCGAAATAATACGTACACAATTCCAGCTCTCCTCTAACGATTAATGACAAATTCAAATTTCATTTAATTCAATTAAACACATTTCTGTATGGTATGATATTTTTATCCCCGAGTCCTTTTTTAATTTGCAATAATTATATTATTTTATTTTAAATTGGTACTTACATTACCTATATCAGGATATTTTTTTTTATGCCTAAATGGAAATACAGTTGAGTCCATTGGACACTCAGTAGTGTACAATTTTGCTTACTGTGTGTCTACAAAAAAATAGTTAAATTATTAGTAGATTGTGTAACAAAAAATTATATTTTATGTAGAAAACACTCTCACTGGTAAAGGCAAGTGTAACTGGGGAAAGTACAAAAGTCGAGGAGAAGGCTCGGTCTATCTGCTCGTGAAGCTTTTTTTAATGGAAGGGAGAGTAATGAACACGCAGTGGATATTCACTAAAAAATGCACTGCATTATAATATTAATAGCGGTTTTGGAATTTACTGCGCGTGTAGATGGGTTCAGCTTTCTACACATATTATAATAACATACGTAAAAATGTAATTTATATAGCTTGTGAAATTTAGGTCTGTTATCCTTACTATCACAGAACGTAGTTTTATTCATAAAAACTCTTAAAAATAAATAGATTATAACAATTATTATTATAGAGGAATCAAAATGGGTGAAAAGAGAATTTGTTTGCGTCGACATGAATATCATTTTGGAATAGGTAAATCAGTTTTTCAATTGATTTACTTGTATATTTAAATTCATGTATCGGACGTAAATATCAAATTCGATTGGTTAACAAATATTGTTATTTTATAGTTTAATCTTTAAATGAAATAATATTTAGGTAATGGGGATTAATGATTACATGTGTGTAGTAATATAAAAAAAAAAAAAAAACCATATTCATCATAATTTGTGTTTAACGCAATAAGTAATAAGTAAGTTTTACGCAATTGTATAAGGACACAGGTAGGTACCATCAAATACTATAATTTATTATTTAAGTAGGTACCCACTAATATAATAGGATTTAATTTTCAAACTGAAATTTGTTTATACGTTTTTATTTTATTAACTTTTTAATTAAGTTACTATTCGTGTAATAATAATATTATTTATATAAGTACCTTACCTACCTGTATTGAAATTGGTTTATAAACTTTAACGATCTTATATACTTTTAAACTGTTCTAGATTAATCTAAATACATTTTATAATGCAATTATAAATCTAGTTGGGAAACTTCATTCTTAACCAATTGAAATAATAATATGTTTATAGGTACCTATGATTGGCGATATCTGAAAAGTTTTAATTTAAATCGTATTATTTACTTATATTATATTTAATTATTCAAATTGAAGTCGACGTTGATTTTTAAATTTAAAAATTTTAAATAGAAAATATAAAAAAAACTGTTTAGTTAGTTAAGCAAATATAATGTATACCTATATATTTTTTATAAAATTGTACCTAATTGAAAAAATAACCAATTTGCGAAATATAAATTACTTTAATAGCTAGGTATAAGTATACTAATTAGACATTTGTGTCTTTGGTATTTTATTATTTATAACGAGCGAAACTTATGATTACTGTACGTATAGAATATAAAATACACTATACACGTATACACACTGCAACTGGAATATATCATGTGATTATTTTCACCAAGTGAAATTCCATCACGACTCTCTCTCTCTATATGCCACCGTTAAAAAAAAAAAAAATACACATAGGTACGTTTTACTCGATTGGATATAATTTCGATTTGTATTCTCGACGCTAAACGTACCTAGTTAAAACTTTATCGAGTGACCCAGTAATATTTTCATAATAACTACTTTATCAGTACACATTTTTTATGCTTAGGTGAATGTATAGCTATATTTTCTATTTATATGCTCTTTTATTTTAATATATCTATATATGTAATAATAATAATAAACATAAATAAATGTGATATTATATTTTTTTGTTACGGATTATCTCTGGAACTGCTCCTCCAATCGTTATGCGGGTTTTTCAAATTTTTTTTTAAATTATAGAGTATATTACGTAGAGGGTTTAAAGCTATTGAAATCCTGGATATGACCAGTAAAAGTAGTAGACCTAACCTGCAGTAGTTTGGGCTGAATACAAAATAATAAAAATTTATAGGTAGGTATTTTTCATTACTTAGCAACCATCATATGGCTAATTTACATAAGCTCGAAAAGAAAATTAAAGAAAATGCATTTTTAAAAACTTTAGGACAACAACGGTTAATTGCAGTGATAATGCCGGGGATTGAAACATGATTTCCAGTGGGAAAACGGTTTTATTACACATTTGTTAGACACGGGCTAGTATACATATATAATATTTATATATATTATGTATGTATTATTGTAACTATTATAATATACCTATATGGGCTGTATGTTTATTTAATATTTATTATATATGTATTTACGGTGTGTGCCCTCTGAGTATAATATTATAATATTTATTATTTTTTAGTGATTTCTACAATATTCATCACTATCCTCTGTCACGTCTCTCAGTTAATAATTCTAATAATAATAATTGCAGTATTCCAGATTGTGTACTGCTTTTTCAGTACACGCTTTTAAGCGAGGTCACCCTGCAAGTGATCGATTTCCTAACGGATTCATCCCGTTGACTATTCTTACAATTAACCTCAATTTTCGCAATTTTAAGGCCAATGTTCCGAGTTAATATTGATCCCAGCCACCTAAATTAGAGTACTTTATTAAAACTATGACCTTCTATACATTATAGTACCTATATACTTGTTGGTAATTTATATCCCTTCTTAATATTATCACGTAATTTGTTTTACTGATAAATATATATAGGTATAATATGCAATCTAACCATTTTGCTGTTTTTATGAGTTTTCTGAATGACTATTTAATTTGTAACCTAAAATAACTATAATCGTGACGCCGACTTCCCAATGCCGTATGTCGGCACTATTTTTTTTTTGTGAATGTGAAATTATAGTAATAATATTCTATACAAATATTTAATTTTTGTTTATAGGTCAACAGCAGAGATTCTTTTTGCCTTCAGGCAATAACGGAAATTTTGCCATACCCCGAGGATCGTTTCAAGAAGATGCGGATAGCGATGAAGTGATTGTTCCTCAACGTAGACTATCTTCTGCTAATCCATTGCCAATTCAATCCAACCCTAGTTCATCGAGTTTTTTTCCATCCCAACAACAACTACCACCAGGGACATTTACAAACTCTGGACCATTTTCACGACCACCCACTGCTCAATTTATTTTGAATGGTCAAACACAATTTCAGGCCGTTCGAAGTCCAGGGTCTTTAAGTTTTTCTGATACTTTACCTACTGTATCACAGCCATCATTTTTTCAACAAGCACCAATTCAGCGTCCACAACAGCAACAACAACAACAACAACCACCTCAACAACAGCCGCAGTTTAATTTTTTTCAAAGTAATTCTCAACAACAAAGATTTCGACCAATTGTTCAACAACAAGATTCAATTGAAGAGTTTGAAGAACAACAAAATCCACAGCCCTCGTTAGTACCACAACAATCGAGTCAAGAACGTTTTACTAGCGATTCGTCGCGTCGGCCTTTAACTCAGATTAACGGTATACCAGGTGCGAGGAACCCTTCACCAGCAGGATCTATTAGATGGTGGAATCCCACACCATCTGACACAGAATCGGTGTCCGGCAATGTTAATAGTGATGAAGAATCAACAGTCGGTCCAAAAGACGATTCAGCGGAATTTAATCAACAAAGACAAATCCAATCACAAAAGCGGGGACGTGTGCCACCCCAACAGGAAAAAAGAAGGCCAGCAATAACTACACATAGACCACAGTCTGGTCTATCTTCGTTTCGAAACGTAAATAATTCGCCTGCTTCAGTTCCAGGCACGACAATTAATCGACGACCTACTACATATAATCCATCATCTATTATAATATCATCTACTACTTCTGTAAAACCCCCATCCTTAAAACCTTCAGAATCATCCGAAGCCGTTAACAGACAACCGCCGAGTACCATTAGAGGGAGAAAACCAGTATTATTTTCAACTACTACAACCACTGAAAGTACTTTAGAAGATGATCCAGAACAAGAGGAACCTCTACCCGTGGAAGAAAAGCGTCAATTTATTCCACGTAAATCGACTACAACGACGCAATCTCCTCAGTTTCCAATTACCACATTGAGGGCTGCTTTAAGGCCTAGACTAAATTCTTCCGCGGTGTCTACCCCTCAACAACAACAACGAATGAAAAAAATTGTAAATAATCCTTCAATACTTCAAAGCGTAATGGTCAGGAAACCAATACTGACAAGCACCAGTACATCGACCCCCAAAACCACTACGCACCATCAAATAGTAGAAGAATACGAAGATTATGAAGACGAATATACGACAGCAGCGCTTACAACAATTGGATCTACAAATAGACCAATAACTCAATCACCTATAACAAAACAGCAAAATAATAACACTTTAATGACGACTTCTGAAAGTTGGTTCGTGGTTGCAAGTGTACAAACTAGTCGATCGGTATCGTCCAATTCAGGTGGTGGGACAAATATGAATCATACAGTTCAAGATGTAACAGAATTTACAACTTCTAATCCTACAAATAAACATCGATTCAACAATAAACCTACACCTACGACCCCTAGTACAACTACAGTTGAAAGTATCATCGATAAATTAGATAGAGTTCAATCAGAACTTTCAAATGGGATATTATACGGTAGCTCTTCGAATACTAACAATAGTAGTCGCATTTTGACTGAAATACAAAGTAGTAGTAACACTGAAGATAAACGAAATGATGCAATTATACCATTTTTTACAACTCCGATGATTGAGAAAACTACTGAAACGACTACTGCGACAACAACAACAACAACAACAACAACAACAACACCACCACCACCACCACCACCACCTCCACCACCATCAACAACAACAACAACAACGACAACAACAAAAGCAACAACAACAAAAGCAACAACAACAACTGAAGAAACAGAAGACGACGATAAAGAAGAAGAAGAAGAAGAGTCTGATGATTCTGATAAAGAACCACAGTTTGTTCGGAAGTTTACCCCCTCTAAAGGAAGAACTACTCCTGCTACTATAACTACTGTTAGCACAGTAAAAGCTTTAACACAGACTGGAAAGAAAAAGAGCTTAATAGATAATGTTAAATTTGATGAATTATTAACCAGTGGATTACTTCCACCAGGATTTAACGCGAAACCTCCTCCAGCATACAAATCAAAGACAATTACTACTACAACTGAAACCCCCGTAACTAATACTGTTAATAGTTTCAAACCAAATATTACTTCTAGTACTACGATTAATACTACACCTCTAACTAGCAGTACAACAGTTAAATCAAAATCGTCGAATTTGAATATTAAGTTTACCGATGATTCATCGGCATTAGCTGCACTTTTACCACCAGGATTCAAACTAGAAGATGCTATTAAACCTTTAGATACCCTATCTCCTTCTTTACTTCCACCAGGATTTAAATTACCTGCAGAAAATGAAAATACCACCGACAAAAGTAAAGAACCGGAAACAATTTTAACAACAATCATGCCAACAATCGAAGTATCGTTAAGTACAACAACAACTCCAACAACTGTAGCTTCTAGCAGTACAACAGGATTAGTTTTCCCTAATAGTGGTAAAGGAACAAATAACTCTGGAACTAGAAAACCATTGCCATCAAGTAAAAAGATTCAAGCTTCAGTTACTATAGCTCCAGTTATTCAGAAGGGGTGGCCAGTTAGGTAATTATAAATTATTTTTTATGGTTATTGTCCGGGTATATATATATATGACAAGACGATACAAGTTCTTTGACAGAGGTGTTAAGTTTATGTTAATTTATATTGGTCAAACCCAAAGAACACTATTTTTGTTTGATAAAATCGATTGAATATAAGTAATTTCTCTTATTTTAGGGCTACTACTGAATTCACCGGTTGGTCCACTCCATCAACTACGCCGCTTTCTATCGAGAAATTATTACAACAATCTAAAGCTTCGGATTTAGCAAGTGCGATGACATCTACTTCAGAGCCAATCTCTAGTACTACAACTACTACAACTACCACTACGACCACCATGAAACCACCCCCAACCACAACACCTGGCCAATGTTCTGAAAGTGATTCAGTTTGCGAGCTTGTTGGTACAGTACGTTTAGTTGGTTCTGGATCAGAAAAATGGGTACCTGAATTATTAGACCACAATACTGCAGAATGGAGATTATTGGCTAGCGAAATCGAAACACAAGTAAATATATATTTATTTTGTATTATATAATATATATAATTGCTTTAATTTATTACTTATATAGCTCGATAAAGTATACAGCAAATCACCTGCATTGAGCAAATGGTACAAAAAAATAACTATCGATTCATTTAGGTATGTATTTAGAACTTATAATAATTAGTGTTTTTAACTTATGAGTGTAAATTGTAACATATTTTGTATAATAGTCCTGGAAATAATGAAATAAGCGATGGGAAATCTGATAAAAACGCCGGAGTGCTTGTTGACTTTTTCGTACAACTTAACCAACTTGGACGTACAGTCAGTACCACAGATATTCGACGTCTGTTTCATGAAACGTTACAAAAAGAAGCTAATCTAGGATCTTCTGCGCAACCGTTGCAATACGGAAATGGTGGTGACTATGAACGTGCGTATTTAAAATTAGGAAGGTTTACCGTCGACCCAGCACGTACGGATTTCATAGGTAAATAAAGGTCATTTATTATTATTAAATTAAAAGGACGTACGTGAGTAAATAAAGTCGTGTATCATAGTCTTTTTCACGAATGGTTTTGTTATGTGGACGTATCAAAATAAAATAAAACATTTCAACGTATTTATTCGTTACCGCGAAAATTATAATATCCGCAAGCTTACTATTAATTAAAGTTTCTATTTATGCGAATTTGTGTTCCAAATAGACAATGAAATATATCTATAATATTTAAAATTATACAAACATAGCACTATCACTTTTTTAGTAAAATTATAACAACAATAAACTATTCGAAATGATTTTATGAAGTATAACTACATAAATACTATCTGTATCTGACGTTTTAAATTGAATGAATATGAGTTAATAGTTGACTTTTGATTATTACCTACCCGTTTTCAATTCCAGTTGTATTTAAACACTGGTTTCCGCCAGTTTACCTACTGTTTTTAATTACGAATTCCGTTCTATTAAAATATTTTTAATTTAATATCAAACCGATAATTAACTGTGTAGTTATATTGTAATATTATTTATGTTATTTAGTATTTGATTGTTGGTTTATATTATTATATTTAATTTGCACGTTATAGTACTGCCTAAAACCAACAGAGGGGTGACGGCAAATACCGGAACGGATGACGCTTGGTTACCGCAATGGGCCGTAGCCGTAATGGTTATCGGACTCGCTTCGTTACTTTTCGTACTGATATTCGGAATAACAGTGGTATTTACACGTTTATTAACTATTCAAATATATCACTTTCGGAAATGTTTTATTGAATTTTATATGTACACCAGCTCGTTAGCCGTCACAAAAACAATCAAAAAATACCACCGCCCACTCTGCAGACGTCCATCATTTCCGACGAACACCATCAACACATGTATGGAACCGGAAAGAACGGGCCTACTACCGGAAGTCGCCATATGATGCACCACCCGCCGTCCCATTCGAATTCGAATTACAACATCAGTTCGTACGGTTACGATAATTACGCAATCGACGACGACATGATGATGCTGGACGAAGACGATCTAGAAGACGTGGACCGTTTGTACGACATGGACGCGGTGTGGGCCGACCACGACCACGAGAAATTGAAAGTCTCGTCCAACAACATATCGAAAAAGGTTCGTGGTATAGTCATATGTATAATATTTTGAGGGTTTGATGTGACAGCAGTACCTGAGATTTGAACGTCATGTCCATCCGTATGTCAATTGTATTATAATATAATTGTGTTAAATGTATTATACCCCTACATAGATTTCTGTTTGAATATGTCGAGTTATTGGAGTATATTTAAAGTTAAGAAAAACTTTCCCACAGTAATTTAAAAATCATATTATAATATTATAATTTTTATTTATCATGTATCATTGCGTGATAAAATATCGATTATTTGAACAATAATTTGTTGATAATGTTGAATAACTATTTTAAAACAAAACCGATAGATAGATTAGACAATATACACCGTCGCATCCTAATATTATAATATACATTTTTCATAAATTAATAAAATATAAAAACGTGTTAAAATACCATGACGAAATAGATTAGCATAAACACATTTTTAATGATACGCGCTCCTTTCACCAGACCCCATTAATTATTCCCTTTTTTTTTTATCAGTATCTCCTTGGTCGTTTTTCTTCAGCAAACAAATTAAAAAATTGGCGGTCACTGCTTAAGATAGACCACTGTTCACTGTCGTAGGTAGAATACATATGGAGATTTAGTTTACATACAATAAATTATTGCAATTCAAAATCAATTATGAGTTAAGTCTGAAGTGTAAATTTTTTGATACATATAAATTGAACATTTTATTAATTTGTAACTAACATATTTTTTATGTTTCTGTGTATTTAATTTAAATATATCATAATCATAAATTTAATTTAACGTTGATAAAAATTAATGACGAACTTCACGTTTAATTTCTTTTACCGCTAAATATAACATAGGATAAAACAAGTTTTATTAAAACAAACGTTAATGTACGCGTTGTAGTATTAGTAGTAGGTAGTATTTGTAGATTGTCGTATGTTAAATGTTGTGATTTTTACAAGTTTTAACAAAATTTAAAATTTAACACGTGTATATATAAAAGAGAAAAATATCTTGTAAAATATTTTATAATAGTTTTGATAATTGTGTATACCATAAGAGAAATTCATGAGAAACGTTGTATATATTGTATGTAAATATTCGGTGAACATTTTAGATCTGTTGGTTTATTTTTCACTGAATTAAAACACAATCGAAATCAACAGAAATTGAAAATATTCCAATTTTTCCTCCGGTTTCTTCTAATTATTAAAAAAAGTACGAGAATAATTAAATTAGGATTTCTCTAGGTATAGCTCACAAACTAGACAAAATGATATTAGAATCATCCTTGAAATTGATGATTGGAATAAAATGTCTATAAATCAAAAAATCGTAAATTGTTTTATGGGAGTATGTCCTATAAATTGTATTTAATATCGTCGTGCCCCCGTTATCTTGTCCTCAAACCGCCGCTGGTACTGATGGGGACATGTATCTATTTATATTTTTTATGCCTTATCTTCATTGATTATATTATAATATTACAGTAACTTTATTCTTGTCTGCACATCATATTGTCAAGTATGGAAGCGTCCTCTGGGACCCCGCAACTGTGTATGCAAGTTCTATTGTTAAAAGAGCCAGAGGCGCTTCCTTCACGCGCTTTCCGTAAAACTCAACAGCCCTTCCTCCCATGATTGTTTCCCAGTCTGAAGTCTCCTTAACCTCTCAAACCTTGCCGACCGCAAACATGCACATAATCTTTCTTTCTCATCCAATATCCATTCAGGTAAAATTGATTCTCCTAGTCTCTTATCCGAAATTTCCTTCAAAGTCCTCTCACATTTCATTCGCTCATCTATCCTTTTACATGTATAATCCTTCCTCTCCGGCTTATTTCCTTAAAAACTCCCCTATCATCTGTCTAATGCTCGTCGCAATCCACGACCCATCCTTTACCTTCGGCTTCTAGTTAAATCTCTCTCTTCAGCCAGTATGTGTAGACATTTGGTTATAGCTTTAATTTAGTTTAGTCTTAACGTTAGTTTATCAAATCTGTCATCTTTGGACACGTCCTGTAATTCAAATAAATACAATCATATAAATATTATTATTACAGCACCGAGATTCCCAACATGGGGGACATTATGACAGTTGGCGATCGACAGCATTGGCGCCTCAAACATTATCGCCAGTTCAACCGGGTTATTATTCCGGAGGCGGTGCTTACGGATACGGCACGGACCCGAATATTTACGGAGGGGGCGAGAGACGACATTATCACCGGGAGGGTACGTCGGCTACGAATCCGAGGTCACACCATCATTACCACCCGGGTGGTTCTCATCACAATCCCAATTTGGCTTATACGACTACCCCGAGAAAACCACCTCAACAATACCATCCCGACTACGACACGGACTTTTAAACAATAATTAAAAATAAAAAAAAAAAATAATAATAATAATTTTTACTTTATAAAAACACATAATAATTTCCAGTTGCCATTTAGGTCGATAATACAAACTCCCAATATGCGATAAAATATCTTACTACCTTATGTATTATTATTATCTATATGCATATTATTATAATAATCGCTCATTTATTATATTTTTATATTCTTTCTTTTATTTTTATACATTATTTTACTTAAAATATACAAATTTTAAAACGATATTTATATTATATACTTGTATATCTTCAAGTTAATGCAATTTTAAAACAATTTTGTATTATTCTTTATTTTTTTTTTATATATAACGTATATAATAACTCTAGTCAAACAAGTGCTTATAACAAGTGAATTCAATTGTATGACAAACTATACCTATAGGTATTTAAAAGAAATATTATGTGATTTTTATATACTTTTATATACGCAAAATACCTGTATTTAGGTTTTTTTTAAATTTTATTTTCTTCTTACTTTAATGTATAATATATTAAACAATTTTTTATAATAATATCGTGTATTTAAACAAACAAATAAATACATAATTATAATATAATTATTGACCTTACGAATTTATACTTTTTTAAGCGTTTTACTTTCATATAATAAAATATAATATTAATTACTATACTCGTATATATATATATATAACTATAATTTTTTTCTCTATAATTACTAAATATCGATCGTATTATATTATTATAAGTCGCCGCTTTATATTATTATTATAATTATTGTATCGTATCGCATATTATGTTAACTAATTATTGTTATTATATATCCATATTTTATTATATTATATTTGTGTATGTATACATCGCGTGTATCGAAATATTTTTTTAAACGTTATTTGATACATTTTTTTTATATATTATAGTATAGAAGCGCGTCACACGGATATCAAACAGATATAATTTTACTGATTTAAAACGATATGCCAGTGGGGCGTATAATACACGTGAGTGGATGTGGGGGTCAGATCCCTTCCCCTTCCATTTTTTTTTACATGACGTACTCGATTCTATGCGTAGATTAAAAGCAAAATAAAACCTCCACGCGAGGAAATGTTTACCCACTTTTCGCTCTCCCCCCCCCCTTATTTTGTCCCGTTCAAAATTTATGTATACACCACTGACGGTATACCGAGGTAGGTATGAAACAATAACGGATCGACTCGCGCTTTATACAATAATATTATTATAAAATACTTATTGCAGCTATATATCGTTTTAAATGAGTAGATTCCCGTGGGACATTCGCTGTGTTGTATATAGTTTAATGATTGTTAACAAAAAAAAAAAAAAAAAACAAAAAAAATTACGATTACCTATGAATAAGTACGCGTGTATTCTTTTTTATTTTTACTACCTTTATTTTACATTATAATTATAATAACAACGTGAATCGTGATGATAAAATATTATTATTATTATTATTATTATTATATACGATATCGTTAACAAACCATCGTAATATATAGGTATATATATATATATATAGTAGTCCATATATTATAAATTTAAACGAACGTTTTTTTTTTTTTTATACGTAATAAATTAAATAGAGTATGAAAAATATAGAGAGTTTTTTTTTTTTTGTTTATAAAAGATTTGTTAATACGGTGGCGGCGCGGCAGTAGGTTAGCAATATCCGTTAAAATACAATCGACGATTGACGGAAATCGTCGGCCGTTCGTCGCAATCGTGTAACATTCTGCACAGTTAAAGAGCGTTTATTAATATATCTGTAAATATAGTTCTGCCCGGCGAAGAAAAAAAAATACAACCATAATGTGTACGTTTGCGTGAATAATTTTAAATATCCTGATTATTCCGGCGATTGGACGCCGTCGACGCTCCAGTTCACGAACCGTGAATATCCGTTGACCTTTTATTTGATTAATATTATTATATGGAATGGCAGAGACAATATAGACCTGGGCCGTTTTTATTTTGATTTGGTGCTCCGGGTTCGAAAAAATACAAATTATAATGCATTATAAATAGGGGGTGTTTCGTGTTTTTCATTTAGAGGCCCTTGAATTCAGTTGCCGGTAACAGAAAACAACCTTACCCTATTTCTTTTGCCGTTTTTTCTTATTTTTTTTTTTTTTTAAAATTTCGATTTATTAATTTTAATTCAGTGTATGTTTTTCACATAGAGTCACCATAGTTATATTATATAATGTAAAATAGTATGATATTATGATGTCATTTAGAGATCATTTATAATATCAGTTTCAAAACAATATACACATATTATTATTATTATTACACCAATAAATTATGGTTTCTATATAAAATATGAGTTACCGTTGAATGACAAAACGCCAATGTCGGTAACGGCGGAAAAAAATTTTGAAAAGAAAAACAGAGGCGAAAAATTGTGGCGCCCTCTGACCTGCGACTTGGAGCTACGGCCCGCGCTCCCTAGACCCATTATTCAGTCCTCGTCATCGGCATCGATTTATTTCCGATCTGGGTTACAAGTACCTAAATCATGATAACGGGTGTAATTGTATATAAGCCGTACAAGAAACGGCGAAGGACCGGTGCTATAATTTTCAGAGAAGTGATGGACGGGTACAGTAGCAAAAGAGAGGCAAAAGTAATAAGAAAAGCCGGCACTGCTGATGAGTGTGTCAGTTTCAGTTTTCTGTCGCAAAATTGTCAAAATTTTTTAAATTGTCTTTTTTTCAAAAATAAAATATTTCATACTGTTATTTAAAATTATAGCTTTATATTATCTACTATTGTAATTTATTATCTTGGCAGTGAAGTTCTTGCAGGCTACTTTGAATAGGAAAATATAATCGAATTTGATTAAATCTCCGTCAATATCTAAAACACATTTAAATTTGATACAAATTACATTTCATTATCTCCTTGATACTTTTATGAAAATAAGTGTTTTAGCTATTCCAGTTATTTTAGTAATTTAATTTAATACCTTAATGTAATTACAAAACACTGTGTTACTTTAAATCTCTACAGTAAAGTTTTCCAATACTTATGCCGTTTCAGTAAAATGTTTCACTTATCTTTATTCACTAATTATTTGTAAGTCAGAACCTAAAAACAAGTACTCACTCCTTAATTTTAAAGCCCGTATTCGGCTCAACTAGAAACGTGTTTTTGTAGAGGATTTGCGCATGAAATCGGATCGAGTTGCCCAAAAGTGAAATCAGAAAGTCGTTTACTATTGCGGTAAGTAATGCAACTCAACTATTACTGTTTGTTAATAACCGATGACTGTTCAGAGTATCGGACATGTAATTTAACAAATTCGACTGATTGGTTCGTACACAATACGCTACGAATATAAAAATTTAAATTTGTTTTCGACCGTGGAATACGTTAGTTACAATAATGTATTGTTAAAAGTGCAAAACCGAGGATTTCGCGGAGTTTCGCATTTGTATTCAAACATATCTTTAAACTAATCTAACTGTAAAATCTAATCAGTATAATTTGTCTCTATCTACGGCCAATGACCATATTACTTTAGGGATAGAAATTTCGTATGAAATAAAAGAGAAGATTTCATTTTTCGAAGAAAGTTAAATTATTATGATGCATATGATAAAAAAAAAAAATAAAACACCTATGAGCTAAGCTCCGTCACTGAAGTCGAATATTTTCTCACGACTATTATATTTAACAGAAATATTATTTACAAAACAATCAATAACGTAATCGAATACTATAATAATTAAATAATGCTATATTACAATAATTTATTATAATGTAAATATTTATTATCAAAAAATGAACTAGTACAGGGATGGGTCCAGCCACTTCTATAGATGGGAAGTTGGGAAGGTAGGATTCATAAAGGTATATTTGTCCACAATAGCTGCTAACGAAAAACGATTTTCAGCGAAGTTCAGTAAGACATATTTTGGAATGTCAGAAATTTCACGATTTTCGTCAAAATTTCATCTTAAAACGTTCGGAAAAAAAAAACGAATGCAATAAACTCAAATTTGTTTCTTAGATCACTAAGTAAAACGTATAGCTTATCTTGTGTTTAGTATTATAATTAGGGTCCGTATTTTAACGCAAAGTGTGTTTTTTTTTTTTTGGTTTATCTTAGACAATGCTTTCCAAGCACATAATTCATTTCATTTAACAGATACTTCAAAGATGGAACTTTTATTTGAAAGTTTTATGCACATTTGTATATTGTACCCTCGAATAATACATAGGTTTTTAAAATGCAAGCCAATTTAAACTACTATATAAAGATAATTTGTTTATAAATGAATTGAAATGAATATGAAAATGAAAAAAAAAAATGTGTCTTTTTGTTTGTTTAGAATGAATAATGCAGCACCTAAAAATATTCAATCAAATTATCGTCGTGAGTCACAATTCAAATTTTTAAATTTTCAGTTCTTCATTTTTTTTTATAGTAAAATAAAAATTATAAATTATTTAATAATAATCGTACATTTTTAAAAATAATTTTATATCACATTTTTCCGGTAAAGTGTATTTTGTAAGGGCACTTTCAGCTATTTTTGAGAGCATTTTTGGTGTATTTATATTATAATAAAATAATCGAGGTATACTCGGAACTGGAAAAAAACGTGAAGTTTGCCCATATATAACAAGTTTTTTCGATACAGTTATTTTTAATTAAAACGTATAGCGCAAAAAAAATTAAAACAAAAGCTTGATGTATATGAGATGAACTATCAATGTTTCAAATACCTATTAAAAGAGCCGATACTAATTTTTTTCTGGCTGACCGAGATCGATTTCGCGTTACTGAAAAAAAAAAATGTTACCATGACGACAAAAAAAGAACAAACGAGATTATGCTTACACACCGCATCCTATCTCTTATCAATATCACGTATAGCATCAACGCCAACTTCACCTTCACTTTGATTGGACTAAAATATCTGGTAAAAACATAACAAATATAAAAAAATAGTAATAAACATAGTCAAAATAAATCATCAAAATATTTTGACAGTTTGACTACATCTGGAAAAAGGCCGATTTTAATATTTTGTGCAAATTTCTAGTCTCTACCACAATATTTTTACCGGATTATTAAGTATAGGAAAAAAAAAAAAACAAAAATAACGATACATTTACATATTTAATGATTTTTCTCGCTAATTATGAAGATTGCTTTAAAAATCGAAAAATGACCATCTCAATGCACTAATAAGATTCAAAATTCTACATGCAAGCTCTCACGTCATTTTTTGATTGGAACAAGAATTCTTATTGCAAAGTGGTTTACAAACAGAATAGAAAGCGCACATTATAGTGAAATCAATAACTAGAATTTAAAATACCAATATCAATATCAGTATTAAAATATTCGTCTTTATTTTATTTATGTCCTTTTTTCCTTTTTTTCGGTATATTCTCGGTCTATCAAATTTTAGCGGGCGTTAGATAATAGTATTGAATTCTATTATACGCGACGCGGAACTGCGAAAAAGAAAATTACTAATCATATTTAAAACAGTTGTCGGTTTAATGCCGATGGAATATATTTACATTTTATATTCCATTCGTGAAAGCTATTACAGTTTTACAACAACGTGCGCTATTATTTTATTTTATTTTTTTCGAAAAAACACTTTTCGGTATCGTAAAAATGATTAAAAAGTTTCCGTCCGCGACAACTTTTTAGACGGATGATTGAATACGAAACAAAAAGGTCTTTTTTATCTCGAATTTCTTATAGGCAAATCCTCTGAAAGTCGCGAACAACTAATAATAAAAAAAAAGAAAAGAAAGAAGCGAATCGTAATTTAACGAGTGTCCATGTGATCGTTTTGGGATTCATTTGTGTATAATATCATGTAACTGCAGGATATGACAATTTCTTATGAAATTGTAAAATTGTAAAATTGTGTACATTGACATAAAGGGTAGGTCTTAAAACGTAATGATTAATCAACGAATTATTATGTTCATCGTTGTTTTCGATATTTTAGACAAATATCTGGCTGTCTGTAAGCTATTGTCTTTGAACCAGGGGCGCATTTACGGGGGCGGGTACGAGGACAGATCTATGTATTCAAAGAATTATTACATCTTAATGTAAAGCCGTTATTAATTGATAAGCTTGAACTATGCCATATTGTGTTCCGTAAAATAACAGTACTACTTAAGCATGATAACATATAATTATCATATTTATCATTATACCTACTCTTCGATACAAGAGACGCAAGTCGGTAGCAACTACTGTTGTAGATAAAATAACCCAAACCGCGGTAGCTTGTAAAGAATCAAAATGTATTTGAGAAATTCTTCGAAAGAGGTAATTTTTTTTTTTTTTGATACACATATACGGGTATTTTACAATAAATTTAACTTTTATTTTGAATTTACATTTAGACGAGATAAATCGGTGTAACAGTGTTGTCTATACATCGGGACATCTAAATAGAAACTAACGAATTCGAGCTTGCGTTGAATTCAAAGAAATTAGACCCCTTTAATAAAAATAAAATTACTTAATTATTTCTTTAATAAAATTTACTAATTTAAATGGTATTAAATATGTTTGGAATTTAAAAAAAAAATTGCATGAAATCCAAG